AAATCGATTTCTTAAATCATTTGTAATACCCTTGAATGGACATTTGCTACCATCATAACGCAGGTGTGTTATGACATTATGAGAATTTTATAAATTCTAGTCTATTTAGATTTTTTATTGACATAGCTCGTTTTGTGAATTATGCTCATTGGTGAATTCAGATAATGTTTGTCCCAATAATCATAGCTGTTTGGGTTTCTAGCATTGTACGTTGACGAATAACTCTAGCAATTCACATGTATGACAGTTATTAGGCAAACATTCAACAATCGTAATTTGGCTCATTTCGCTCTAGTGTTTCATTAGTATTGGGACTGACAAAGATACAGATCGCGTTCATTTCACTGCTGTTCTCGGTCATGGGTGCTCGTGTTCAATTATTGTTCAATGGTTCCGATCGTCCGAATCGATGAAGCCGTGTCTTGTAGGTGAATGTCTGTGATGTAGCAAAGTTTTGTTTTAGTGCTGGCTGTGAATAACCGATCTGTGGAATACACCGTGCATTGCATTATTGCAATGAAAAAAGTATTCTCCATACCCACTTTTCATGGCGTAAAATGGGTTTATTTCAAAAACAAAATGATCGATGGGATTCTGAATCAAAATATCTGGGTTTCTGTGAGGGAAGTTTTATTGACAATTCTCATCATAACTCCGAAGAAAGGGTAAATATAAGTATTCAACTTCTCATTTCTTAATAAATTCGTCAGTAATGAATATAGATGATATTTCTCCGAAAAAATCAATGAGTAATGTCAAAAAACTTCCACAGATACCCAAATATTTCACTTCAGAGCCTGAACGTATTTTTCTGTTTTTTTGATAACAATAACTTTGGATCATGAAAAGTGATAGTGTGGATATGATATTTATTTTCATTGCAGTAATTCAAAGCACGGTTTCATAATGCATACCATCGAATTATGTTGATTAGATAACCTTATTACCACCGTTTGATGAATATACTAGAGTAGAAAAATATTGGGATAACTGTTGAAAATGAGCTTTATTACAATAGCATGTCAAAATGTCAGGTTTCATGCAGATATCAGATAACTATAATAAAATGAGACGTATTACTGCGTTACCTCAAGATGGCTGTGCCAGTAATAAAAACATGCTGTTTTATGTCGATAGTCTAATAACCACTGTAGAGTGGAGAGTTACTGCAACATTTTATGGGAATAATTCCTATTCGACATTCTGTGTTATCATAAAAACTAGAACAAGTAGTAGTTATTCAGCAGCGGTGTTTTTATACAAGTTTGCAAATTGAATAAGCTGCCATAACTACAAGTCACCTGCAAATTCACTTCATCTATGGTAGCAAATGAACACATCTGTCCCCTATTTATTGCAGATATCGTAATAACGATTATCAGATTTCCAATTATGATAACTCAAGTTTTCTCTCAGTGTATTGACATGTGGAGCAGTTTATTATTTTTTCTTGTATATGTCTATTCATAGATGGCCAATAGAAGGAATTGTTGGCTTTTGCAATAGTTTTATTACTGCCTTGATGGCCTACATGTAGTTTTTCCAAGATTTCCTTCTGTAATTTTTTTTGGAATTATGACTTTAGTCCCCTTGAAAATTAAGTTGTCTGCTGTTGTTAATTCCGCTCTAAACTCAAAATAAAATCTGATTTCCTCGGGTACGTCTTTGATCTTATTTGGCCATCCTTCTATTATGAAATGTTTCACTTTTTGCAAAATCGAGTCTGTTTTTGTCAGTTGTTTTAGTTGTTCAATTTTTTGGTCTGATGCGTTTACAAACTTGTTGATTAGACAGACTTGAGCTTCTAGCTCTGCATCTATATTTTCTTCAAAATATTCGTCAATATATGCTCTAGATAGCATATCAGCGATAATTGAACTTTTTCCTGGCCTGAATATGAGATCAAAGTCGTATTTTCTTAATTGAATCAGAAGTCTCTGCAATCTTGCCGGACATTCATCTAAAGGCTTTTTAAACATGGCTAATAATGGTTTGTGGTCTGTTTCAATGGTAACTTTTTTTCCAAAAATGTATTGGTGAAATTTTAAGCATCCGAACCAAATAGCAAGAAGCTCTTTTTCGATTTGTGCATATCTTTTTTATGCTTCATTGAGTGCTCTCGATACATGCGCACATGGTATACCATCCTGTAGGATAGTAGCTCCCATACCGCTCTGTGAACTGTCTACTGATATAACAGTGTTTTCATTTGAAACATCATAAAATTTCAAGCAAGGGGCTTCACTTGCTATTTGTTTCAGGTTATTAAATGCTAAGCTTTGTTTTTCTCCCCAAGTGAATATTATTTTCTTTTTCAGCAGTTCTCTCAATGGAGCTGTTTTATCAGATAGGTTTTCTATGAATTTCCCTACATAATTAACAAACCCTAGGAATCTCTGTATGTCTTGTACGTTCTTAGGTTCAGGCATATTTTTAATTGCCTGTACTTTTGCGTCATCTGGATATACTCCTGTGTCTGTTATATGACATGACCCATGTATTTAACCTGTTCAATAGCAAACTGACACTTATTTTTGTTGAAACTTATATTCTCAGCTTCTGCTATTTTTAACACTTTTTCTAGTCTTGAATTATGTTCTTTATTATTTTTTCCATATACCAGTATATCATCTATATAAATTTCA